GATGGTGCCATGATTGATGCCATTTGGCTGGTGGTCGTTGGGGGTGAACGATTGGTTGAAGGACAAATAATTGATGGGTGCGGGGGGGGGGATGGTTCACCCGGTTTGGGCATTGGAAGGCAAACGGGAGGGGAGGGGAAGGGAGGGGAGGGGAGGGGGAGGAGGGGAAGGGGAGGGAAAGGGAGGAGTGGTGCATACCGGAGTGGGCTCTGGTTCACTGCTGGCGCACAGCCCCATGCCGTTCAGGTGTGAGAGAGGCAGGTGTTGTCGTTACGGGGGGCTGGTGGGGAGGGGAGGGGAGAGGGAGGAGGGAGGGAGGGCGAGAGCCAAGCGGTTGGCGTGCGTTCCGGACATTGAGTGACCAACGAAAGATGAATTAGTCAATTTGGTGGGCGATGGTAATGGTAATGGGGTTGGGGATGGGGATGGGGATGGGGATGGGGGATGGGGGATGGGGGATGGGGGATGGGGGATGGGCGATGGGGATGGGGATGGGGTGGTGGTGGGAGGTTGATCACGATGATGTGATGGTTGATGAGTGGGCGTGTGATCGGAGGGGGGGGGGGGGGGGCTGGCGTAGACAATGGACGTAGACGGTTGGCGTAGATGATTGGTGTGAATGGCTGGCTCTGTCCATGATCGATCTCGGAGCATCAGGTTGGGCTGTCGGCCGAGATCGGGTGAGGGACAGGCGAAAGAGGCAGGTGAGCAGGTTGACAGCGACAGACCCGTCTGCTGGAGGACAAGGACGAGCACAGTGAGGGGTCGGGAGGCAGGATATGGCGGCTTCAAACAATGAGACAGTGCAGCGAATGTCTGGAGCGGCGCGGTGGGCTCTGTGCGCGGTGGTGGCGGCGCTGAGATCCAAAGACTCGGCAGCGGACGTGGGCTGCGTGTTTGTGGATCCGACCGAGACGCGGCTGCTCTCGCTCTCGTACAACGGCTTCCCGAAGACTCGCGGCGGCCCGTTTGGCGATCCGGAAATTGCGCTGCGGATGTACAAGGCCAGATTCATCGCTGGCAGTGGCGATGAGGCTGAGGGGGACGCGAGCTGGGAGGCGGGAGTGCGAGCGGGAGTGCGAGCGGGAGTGCGAGCGGGAGTGCAAGCGGGAGGGGAGAAGCGGGGCTGGAGCCGTCTCGGCGCTGCTGCTCAAGCGGCACTTTGTCATTCACTCGGAGGTCAACGGGCTGGTGCACATGGCCAAGCACGCGTTTGTCCGCGGGCTGGTGTGCTACGTCACGCTCATCCCGTGCCACGATTGCGTGCGGAGGCTGGTGGCGGCGGGGGTGGCGCGGGTGACGTATCTGTTCGAGAATGGCAAGTACGGATACGATACGAGCGTGCACGGGGTGGCGGAGGCCGAGCATGGGATGGCGATCACGCAGCTGGCCGGGCGCGACCGGGCGGCGCTGCTGGAGACGTTGGCGGTGAGTGAGGACGAGCTGCGGCGACTGCTGTTTGGGACGCGCGAAGCGCCGGTCGGACACTCGATGTCGTGGATCCGGACGCTTGGCACGCTCGCGCACGCTATCTCGGCGCGACGATCCGGGAGCTCGTCGGCGTGCGTCCTCGTCTCGGACAACTACGCCATCATCGCGACCGGGGTCGCCGAGGCCGCGCAGCCGGGAGCACCATCGTCACCATCGGCTGTTGAGAGCGCCGTGTTCGCCAACCCGACTGCCGGCGGCGTGGCGTGCTTTGTCACGCAGGTCCCGCTAGCTGCCGACGTCCTTCTCCTTGCCCAGTACGGGGTCCAAGACATTTTCCTCTCGTGCCCGATGCCGCATGCCCGCGCGTTTCCAAGGCAGGCCGGCCTCTCGCCGCCCGACATCGACTTTGCGTCGACGGCCTCGCTCCTCGGTGCCATGCTCAAAGACGACCTCGAGCGCGACGTCATTCTCAAGCTCACCGAGGTCCTTGGCCTCCGCCTCCAGTTCCTGGCGTGGGAGTCGCCGCGCGAGTCCGACGCTTGCGTCGAGGTCCACATCTCGCGCCTTCGCGACGTCATTCGCCAGCGGGCCGACCGGGTCGGCATCGCGCTTGCCGCCGATGCCGAGACCGGCAGCGCCAGCGGTGCCGAGTAAGTAACAGAATACAGGAGGATGAGGTGGTAGTGGAGAAGGTGGGGGTGCGGCTTGGTGGTCCGTGTCCCGGTGGTGCGCGAGTGGTGGCGTGACGTCATAGTGTCACAGGCGTTGTCAGCCAGATGAGTCTGGGCCACCGTCTACGATAAAAGCACGACGCAATGCCGGCGTTTATGGCGGGGATAGGTAGACAGACACAATATCAAGACAATCAATGTCATCATCTTTGATTCCGACGGTTACCGGCAAGCTCCACCTCCGAGTGGTCTCGGCCAACAATCTCATACCGATCAAGAAGTTCCGCGACTCGGCCAACCCGTACGTTACGGTCTCGATTCCCGAGGCCGGGATCAAGTACACGACAGCGACAGTGCGATCGACGACCGAGCCAGTGTGGCAGTTTGCGGATGCATCGGCCGAGCTTGGCCCGTTTGTCAAGGCCTCGACGCTTCGGTTCGACGTTCACCACTCTAAGATCCTGCTCGCCGACGCGGAGCTCGGCTCTGCGACGATGAACCTCGACCAGCTGCGGGAGCTTCCGCCGCGATCGCACCTCACGATCGGCCTCGAGCCGCCGCTTGATCGGCCTACCGAGACCGCCGGCTCGATCACGTTTGAGTTTACGCTCGAGCCGTTTGAGGTGGCGAACGCCGAACTGTTGAGTTGCAAGCCGCTGGCGCAGTCGCTCGAGACCGGCTCGGACGATGCGCCGTTTGTATTTGGCTCGCACGACTACGAGGAGAATATGGTCTTCTTTACCAGCAGTGTTCCGGATCGAGTGGTTTCCGGCGCCGCAGCGCTCATGAGCACCCGGCTCGGCGTCGATGTGGAGATGTCCGAGCGCAACGGGCAGATCTTTGCGGAGCTTCCCCGGAAGCTCGACCGCGACGGGACGCGGGCGGTGGCCTTTGCCGCGACCATCGACGCGGCGCTAATGCACGGCTTCCGGGTCAAGTCCGGAGTCGGCCACGGGTCGGCGGCCTCGGGCGTTATCTTTGTGCCAGACTCGGGCATCGACCGGCCCAAGCCGACGCTTGTGCTCGAGATCTACGACAAGCGCACGATCCGGGCCAACGCGCAGCTGCTCAAGTATCTCGGCCTCGAGTTTGTGGATGCACTGCGGCAGCGCGGGCTGGAGCCAAAGGACGACTCGGGCTTTGTCTTTGACGATTGCGGACGGTACGGAGAGTGCGTGTTGAGCAACGGTGCATTCAGTGACATGAAGCATGCGCCGACGCAGATCGGATACGTTCTCGACGCGCTCGCGCTGTTCGGCCTTGTTCTCGAGGCGGTTGCCGGGCGCAGCCTCTTTGTCCTCCGCCCGCACACGCCATCGATCCACGGCAAGACCCTCGATCCGATGCCGACGCTGGTCGTGGCGGGCAATCCGGACGCTGGGCTCGCCGGGCTTTCCAAGACCGCCGGCAGCGAGATGGCCGATCGGCTCCAGGCTGCTCTGCCCGGAACCGGGCGGATGCATCTCGCGGACGACGGACAGACGGCGGCGCAGACGGCAGTGATGAACGGGCCACAGCAGACCGACATTGTGCGCGCGGCACAGGAGGTGTCGGGAAGGCGAGTTCTTGTCGGCGGTGACGAGGGGGGCTGATCGCGGTGGCGGGCGCCGAGCTCGGGCGCGGGTCCGACGAGAGCTTTGACGCGGATGGTCTTCTCCGGCTTGTCGCCGAGGAGCTGGGCAAGAACGAGCACGTGACGCTCGGGCTCGACGAGCTCCGACACAAGGTCCACAGCGGCGGGTCGGCGTTCCGGATGGTGCATCCGAGGGTGGAAGAGGTGTACGAGGTCGGAGCGACGATTGCGCAGTGCCTGCCCGAGGTGGGGGTCGGCGGCGACGAGCACTTTGCGGGGATGTGGTAAAGAGATCGCAGCGAGGAGCTGATGAGTTTACGGGCGGACACGTTACTCGTCGTCCTGGTCGGGGCGCGGCGGGTTGTCAAAGTCAATGTCGTGACCGGTGATGGCGCGGTAGACCTTGAAGACGTCGTCGCACGAGGTCTCAAAGTGTGTGGTGGCGTCGTACGAGGTGGTGATAAAGACGCCGTCCTTCTCGGGTCGTTTGTGGGCTCAAAGGTGGCCGAGACGGAAGGGAAGCGGGCCTCGATTTCGCCAAGGAGAGCAAAGCCGGGCTCGAGCTCCTTCAGCGGGTTGTCTGTCTCGACGGTGGTGGAGACGAGGACGATCCACTTGCCGGGGGCGGCGACGTTGTGGGCGTACGAGACGCACGAGATGTAGATGTCTGAGTTGCGGCCGGCCTGGCGCTGCGGGACAATGATCTGGCACGACTCGGCGTTGTCGGTGGAGGGAATGGGGTGGTTGAGGATGCAGATGCAGCGGACGACGGAGCCGGTCTGGCGGACCTTGTCGGGGAAGTACGACGGGTCGCCGACGACAAAGTCGCAGGCGGCGACTTCGCCCTCTGACTTGACGCCACAGACGCGGCCCTCGTCGTTGTAGACGACCTCCTCGATGGGCTTCTGCAGCATGTAGGTGCCGCCGTAGATGGCCGAGAGGCGGGCAAAGCCCTGCGGGAGCTCGCCGAGGCCGTAGAGCGGGTAGAGATAGGGCGAGGAGCCGTAGCGGGCGAGCGAGTCGGCGTAGAGCTTCATGCGGTCAAAGGTCTCGCGAGCCGGACGGGTGAGGTACGAGTCGTCCTTGTTGAGGGCGACGGCGTGGCCGATAAACTCGACGGTGTTGTCATCGAGGCCGTAGTACTCAAAGATGTCCTTGATCGGGGTCTCGTCGATGTTGAAGCCCTTGTGGGTCGACGGGTCGGCATCGTCGTAGTTCTGGGCAAAGGCAAAGAAGTTCTTGCACTTGCGCTTCTGGAAGAAGCCCATCAGCGACGACTTGAGCGCCTCGACGTCGGTGGCCGGCACCTTGTACACCTTGCCGCCGCGCATGACAAACGAGCCGTCGACCTTCTTGAACTCGAGGTACCGGTTGACGCCGGTAAAGACAAGCATGTTGACCAGGGCGCCGTTGGCCATGATGAACTTGGGGATGAGGTCAATCTGGTAGTCACGCGACGAGCCGAGCGACTCGGGCGGCTTCTGGCCATCGGTGAACCGCTGGAAGAGCTGATCCAGGGTGAGCGAGGCCGACTCTCCACCGTAAAAGTCATTGCGGTCCATGTGGAGCACCTTCTTCCGCTCCACCGACATGAGGCCCGAGATGATGCACTCCTTGAGGCCCGTGCCTGGGGGGTTGGGGGTTGGGGGTTGGGGGGTGGTTGGGGGGAGGGGAGATGGGGTGAGTGAGGAGGTAGAGTCTCGGTTGTGGTGGTATGGATGTGTGTGGGTGTATGGGTGGGGCGGTGGGTGGGTGGGGCGGTGGGAGGGGGGAAGGGGGGAGGGGGGAAGGGGGGAGGGGGGAGGGAGGGCGGCGAGGAGGTGTACGTGTTGTGGCTTTTTTTGGGGCAGAGGTGGGGGAAGGGGGGGAGGGGGCGGGAGGGCGGGAGGGGTATGCGGAAGGCGAGGGGGCGGGGAGGGAGGTGCGTACCCAGCACAATGCAGTCGTACTTGTCGTCCATGTTGACAAGAGGGGAGTTGAGTGGTGGTGCGGAAGAGGTGGAGGTGGGCAGGACGCCGGCTGGCTGCGGTCTCGGCAGGAGCAGCGGGTGGCTGGCTGGCTGGCCGGCTGGCTGAGGTGGCGAAGGTGGGGAAGGTGGTTTCCGAGTCGTTGCCATCAATCACGTGACAGGAGCCCATCTCCGCGGATCTAAGCTCAAACTTGATGACAGATGAAAGACATGACAAGGGCAAGGGCAAGGGCAATGGCAAGGGTAAGGGCAATGGCAAGGGCAAGGGCGATGGGGTGTAGCGGGCGTGTCCATGGGGTGCTGCGCTCTATTGATGATTTGATCAAGATCATCGTTATATCTATCGATAATCATCATTGCCATTGGTCGCTTCCCTCTTTGGCGCCTTTCGCTTGCCCTCACCCTCACCTCACCGTGACCGTCCACCTCCCCTCCCCCCTCCCCCTCCCCCTCCCCCCCCCCCCCCCCCCCCCTACCAAAAAAAATTTTTTTGAGGGAGGTAAGAAAAGGAACCTTTCCCAAGTAGGGGAAGGGCCGTCGGGAATGTATTCCAGTGGGCTCCTCCGCGGGGGATGCGCGCCGGGGGAGGGGGTCGCCACGGGAAAAAGACCGGCTGGTCGGGGGGAGAGGCAAGGGTGTGACGGGACCAAACTTTTACCGGAAAGAGGAGGGAGACACCGAGACGAAGGTCTTTACTGCACTCACCGTGGACGTGGAAGGCACCTTATTTTTTTTTTTGAATGCATGTACCGTACAAAAATATAGGAATAACTCCGGAGAACATTAGAGAGGAACACCAGAAGAGTGTAGCTGCCCAGATGTAGGAGATAGACGAAGTGTCGTGCGTCCGGGCGCCCCGGCAGATATAAGTACAAAGACCGCTCGCCGCATACTCCCGAGAGCACTACGGCGCCCTGCGCGCAACTGAAAACCTAATAGGATAGACGTGCATGAATGTAGAAATACCACATGCGTGGGAGTGATGCTAGCAGCGCCCACGCAGGATGTGAGGACCGATGGGAAGGTCGGGCATAAGTGCGGCAAATGAAGCACGACAGCAACACGCTTTATAAACAAGGGAAATCGAGCACCTGATTGTATCGGGCCAGAGATTGTGGAGCTGATGGCAAGACGAGCAACGGGACGGCAACCGACTGGACCGGGGGGACAACCCGGGTTTAGAAACGCCCCC